CCCCCTCTCCTCGCTCTCCCTGGCATATGCGCTGCATCACATGCTCCACTGCAACTATGCCGTTATGCCATTTTCAGTTTGTGACCTCTTCCAGGTCAAGATCAAACCGGTCTTTAAATGAGTCATTCTAACATTCATGCTTTCAATTCTACCATTTAGCAACGTTTGATGGAATGACTTTCTTACCTGTAAAACTCACTTTCAACATTGCTTCCAGTGAATACCAAAAACAAAGACCATTCCATCATTCAAAACATTACAATACACAGAGTCCAGCTTTTATATACAAAAGGTTTCCATAAACTTTAAATATTACCAATGCTTTACTATTGTTTCAAACTTCAAATTACATTGTCATGCTGTCTTTGAAAATGCCTTATTTCCAATTTGCAATAGCTATATTCACGGCATCTTAAGTCCTGAGTGCTGGATTTGCTGGCGGAACAAGGGCTTCAGGGAGTTAAGGCTGCAGAGATGTGAGAATGGGCTATAGCCCCTGGCACAGGCAGGACAGTGTATCACGGTGATGGACAACTGTATCTTGCATGAACACAGAGAGACACATGCAGAGAAAAGGAGAAAAGAGACAGGCGAAACCTCTAGGCTACAAGGTTAGATTTCAAAGTGAGGCAGAGAAAGATAAAGAAGTAAAGAGTGTGTGCTTTTATGACGCAAGTCAGTACCGGCCCTAGAGCTACGACCCCTGAATCAACCAGGCTGAGTGAAAGACATACACCAAGGGGGCAGAGCGCCAGGGCCTCAAAGCCCCGACCCAAAACTCCTTTGCCAAGCACCAAATTCAATATTGACCATGCATTTCCACTTCAAGCTGAGGAACGCGACCAGGACTGTAGGCGCTCTCTTAGAATAAAAACTTGCCGTCGTAATTGTACTGACCAGACGGCAGCATGACCATCCCGAGCGACACACCCGGCTCGCTCACTGCTATGGTCCCCCCCGTCAGCGCTGCATTTGATAACATCTGGATGGCCCAGTAACAACCACAAGCAGGTGTAGAAGCTGTCATTTGTTTCCCTAATGAAGCAAGGACCATTAGCTGGACCTAAAGCGTTATCACCCTGAATAATGATGCCAATTGTCCTGCAACAGCGTCTCCACCCCAAGACACAGGATTAACAAGCCACCAGTTTTAGCCCTACTCTGACCCCATCCTCTGCTCTCTGCACATATCTCACTCTCCTTACACTTCTTTTCACTCATCCCATCTCTCAAGGCTGCTGTCTGCTGGGGAGGCTGAGTCACATCACTATTAGCCGCTTTGCAGGGCATTTTGACCATTTCTCTGACTCCGTGTTTGGCTCTTATTTTCGTATCCATATTAACCTCTTAAGTGGCAGGTCTGCAAGTATCCCCACTCATAACCTGTTATGAATGCTTCATGATCCTCCACAAAAACAACATTAATCATTTTCTTCCATATAGCATTTAAAACTTGGAATGCGCTGAATTCCACAAATATGTATATGACTTTCTAGACAAAGACAGCGCCATTTTTAAAAGCAAAATCCTACTCCCCCATCCAAGAACACTGCGACCAGAGTAAACCTTGTTCTTTTGTTAGTAAACAAACCTTTTACATAAGATGCCAAAGCAATATTCACATCAAAAACAGAAAATTGTATGTATGAAACATAATTATTTTTTACTTATAATAATTATTTCAAATCAATCTTTTTTGTTTTATCAATCCTGCCTAAAAATTAGAAAATCACGGCCATCATCGGAATCTTGACAGAATCAATTTGACTTTGTAATTTACATTACTGCCACTATATTTGAAATTACTACTAACAAAAATGGGTTAAATAATTACATTTTGCTAATTCGTAACCATATGAAATCAATTTTTCCATAAGTTTGATCTTCTTTACCAAACATGATTATTGTGCCATAAAAAGATGTTTACAAATAATGGCACAGCTATGCCACAGAAATAAAAAAAACATATCTATGTTTTTATTAATGTATTCTTTATAAACAATGAATAAACTGGATTTCAAAGTCAATGTATTTCAGTGTGCAATAGAGGTAGAAAGTTCTTGAAGCCAAAAGTATACATGGGAAAGAAATTATTTTTTCAGTGTTTCAAATACAATCATAGAACCCTATGTGCTGTACACAGAAAAATTAGAGGCTAAATGCAGTGACTTCTGCAAACATTTCTACAATTTTCCAAATAATTTTGTATTCACAAACAAACCCTTTTTGGGACTGGATACATCATCCTTTCACTCACCGTTTCTTGAATCTAAAAATTGAAAAAATCATGCATTTTCATTTTCAATACAAGATATTCTCTTTGCATTAAAATATGTTACATTTATATATTTCATATATTTTATATAATTAATAAGATGCAATGTGAAATAAGCAATGTAAGCTGGTGTGAGTTTGTATTCAGATAATTAAATGTGAAGAGGTCTGCCTAAGTTACAATGTAAACCAGTGCTAACCTTGTATTTTTGGCCAATGTAAATAAATTGCAAACGTTCTGCAAATGTTTTAAAATTAACATGAACATGAAACATGATTTGTTTAGTTATTTTAGAAATTGTTATTTAATGTTCCTTTATGTTCTTCTTGAATACAGCCCAACTAATGTAAAGATTATATGGAAAGGTACAATTACTTTATAAGCACACATTAAATCCTTCTTGTGATACCTTAGCTATTTATATGCAAATGTTATTGACATCTTAGTTCCTGCAAAACTGACGCTTGAAACAATTGACTACAATTTAAAACTTTCAACCAATTTTATATCTGATATTTTATAACAGAGGTTCTATGAAAATACATTGGTCTAGATACTATGTAGTGAATTTATCCAAAAAATCCATATAAAATTATACTGGGAGAGACACGCATTTTAAATTCAAATATTGAAATATTATATTGATGGAGATGACAGTCTTATTGAAAACATCGTATGTTCACTGACAAAGGATCAGGAAATACAATGCAAAAGTCTATTTCCAGGAAATGTTATTGTAATATTATGGCAAAACCAAGAGTAATGGGATTTCTAAACATCTACTGTATTTAATTAATCATTAATTATTTATTAATTATTAATTATTGATTTAATTAATTAATAATTTATGCCCAAAGAGTTATTCTCGCAAGTCTTGATCTATAAATAAACATATACATATCATTTGAAAGGCATTATACTTTATAAAAACATTTATAAAATATTTCCCTTCATATACATTATCCTGAAAGGACAATTTACTATAGAAAGCCATGTACACAGTGCCAAATGTAAAATTAATTTTCTTATGCGTTATTTGTAAACTAGTGGTTAAGGGAAGAAAACTCAATTTCTTGCACTGATGCAATGCAAGACTGTATTCTTTCTATGTTATAGCATTTTGCTATTCAGATGGACTCAGAAAGTCCCTATAAAACCCCTACTTACTTTTTAAGTCATTATTTAAACCCTATTTTATATTTTGTTTTAGATTATAGTTATAGTGGGGTATTATAAGCTATAGTATTGTCCTTACATTATAATTAAATTCACCACATCAAAATTATGACTTGGGGAGAGAGAGCGAGTGAAGAAGAGACTAAGGTCTCTGTTACGACATAATTCAAGCATCTACAATAGCCTCTAATTCATCATCTCTGATAATGATCCTTCTGGAACAGCAAGCCAGAATATCAGATTTCTGTTTTGCTTTTTAACCACAAGATGCAAAAGTTTCAAAATTTAAAATGACCTGAATTTTAGCTAATGTCTGTTTCACAGGTATAAAAATGACGGGAGAACACTATAGCCCCAAAAACACGAAAACATGGAAAAAACACCAAAGGCAATTTCACATCAGAGTTTAAGGGGACAAATCCGGAACAAATGTGTACATAGCTTCCACTAATCCTTACCACTAGAGAGAGCTCTAAAACCCATTTCTGCAGAGATCCAGTCTCCATTAACGACACCCCACCCCCCTTCCCTGCCCCTTCAATATCAACACCAGCCTGCTTACTCTTACCCCCTGCAAGCCCTCCCCCCTCTGAGTCAACACTGCAGCCATAACTCATACAGGTGAACAACTGGACAGCCAACGGGAAGACAGATGACAACTCTGCGTCATAAATAACGCTGACAGAAAGGTAAAAACTAAAGAGGCATACCTGAAGCGGACGTAAGGGAACAAACGGCTAAACATAGCAGAAATTAACCTAAAACGATGAAGAAATGATCAGGACAATGAGACAGCCTGATGGGAAATGCAGGAGTGTGCGCGGCCGGCCGTCTTCTACACCCACAGATACCTGAACTTTACGAGAACAGCTTCATCTTCTGTGGTTACTGGAAAGTGCAGCATATAATGGTTTACACTTCCAGGTGCAAATTATGGAGCAATAGAGGCCATGAATGAGAGTAAATAAGGCAGGGATCTGTTCTTCCAGTCCAGCCACTTCCTTATCCATTGAATGGCTATTACCTCACACATCCCCAGCCATGCAGAAGAAACACACACAACAATTTTTCACAGATTTCATTTGCTGTGTTCCCTTTGCTCCCCCCATAGTAAAAGCTTGTCTGTATCCTATTTCACCAAGTTATGTAAAAATTTATGTGAAACTGGATCACATCTGAAAATGATTTAATCTTTCCAAATACTTTAATATGTCAACTCTCCACTAGACACAAGACATTGAGCGTATCATTGGACAATATACCCTTACAAAAGCTGAAACAGAGCCAGGACTGTGCAGCAAATTCACAGGTGACCACTGGAGGGCGATCTGCAACTCTAAATCCAGAGTGAAGACTTCTGCAGCATGACAGAAGCACTCAAGACTGACCAAAAAGAACAAAAACAGCCTCCAAAACTCCCAAAACCCAAAACATATGCTTGATACATGTTGGATCCGTGTAACTAACGCAGCATTATCTTATTAACTTCATGTATCTATAACTGGTACTTGTTTTGTGCAAGCAGACACACAACGACACCTGAACTCACATTCTTGAGGACCTTCATCTTGGTAGTCAGAGGCTACTGACACATCATCAGATGGCACAGAGCGACCAACACCAACGCTCTGATTGTCATCTGAACTTTCCTCTTGTCTGGTATCCCCTGGAATAAAGAAAAGTCGGGATTAGAAAAGTTAGATCTAGTCTCGGGCATAAGCTTTCGCCAAAAGATATAACTGAAAATGTCAGAATAATACAAGTGAATGAGGGTTTTATTCATACTAAAAGAACATGGGGATTAAACAGAACTGCAAACTGTGCAAGCAAAAAGAACAAAGGAGAGGAGGTTAGGAGGCCACGCTGTGTCCATGACACGCCCCGAGCTCTGAGCCCGGCAACGTGAGGCACGAGGACACTCGCAAAGGCAAGTATATGCACAGCCTGAGAGTATCGCAGGCCATTATTACAGGAGTTTCAATTAACAAAGCAAGACAAATAAAGGTTTTGTTTGATTGATGTTTTTTCGCTAAGAGCTCCATTGCAGGGGAAAAAAACACAGTGTGTGCCTTTGACATATAGAGAAATAACAGAAGTAAAGTTAGACGTATTAACCGTTAAAAGCTAACAAAGTATTGCCAGAAACATAGTTTGGGGCTACCTCTGATTAACTCTGACTCTAAAAAGCAGTCATATAAGGAGGGTTTCGGGGGAGGAATATGTGTCCTGAATCAGATTGCAGAACCTGTTTTGACGCCATCCGTAAGCATACATTGCCCTAACACAGCAGGCATGGTGCCAATTAACAGGAGAACTTGTATGTTTCATTGGATAAAGACATTGGCTATGCAGAAACTGTATAGAAGGACGACAGAAACACAAAAATTCTGGAACTCATTTAAACCTCATTAGTCAAGAATCCACAACACCTAAAATTGAATTTGAGACGTCGCAAAGGTATTAAGAATAATCTACGCTATCACACTCGGGTCACACTGTTTAACCTAAGTGGTTTTAAAGTCATAGAATAAAACCACTCAACACAAAGCCCCTCGGTGCCTATCGTGCACATGTTAAGATAAATCAAAGGATTATGGCCCTTTATATAAAATCTCCCATTTTGCACATGCGTACAATGCAACAGGACACCCTTCCTGGGCCAAACTCTGCCTTGTATGCGCGAGCCGCGAATGCAAACATTACACATTTCATGTGATTATGACCCATTTCGGAAGATCCTCCTTTCGTCGCAAGGTTTTTTCCACCCTCCCACATGCAGCAAAGGCATAAATAAAAGAGACAGATGGGTGTGCTGTCGGACCAGACAGAGTGTGAGCATCCCGGCCTCTTCAGAGCTGGTACAGAAGCTTTAAATCACACACGGCACGACTGGGCTGGCAAAGGCTGATCCACACACTCCCGCGAACATAGCTGTAAAATGAGCCAACATCTGCCTAACCCGAGACCACGTGCCATAACTGCAGGCATTTACTTAGCTTATGCTAACAATGTGTAATCTAAAGAAATGAGATCAATTGATTGTGCAGCATTGTTTAGTTCATTTTGGTTTCCTTGACACCAGTCACCAAGTACCCAGTCTTGTATAAACGTAACTAAAAGCTCTAAATCAGAATTTGTACATTAACTAGTGAAAATAATAATTATAATTATTTTTACTGAGCTTTAACCTGTATATTAATCTTTTACAACCTTCTTAGTTTGATCCATTTCCCTTTACAGCAGATTTTACACCAGTGAAGCAAGAACAGCTGTAATACTAGTAGGAACCTTATGAGGGCACTACACACTGATTTGGAATAAAAGCGGATAATGGCACAGTGAGTGGGGGATGGGGAGGACCTTAAATGAAAGGGAAAAATCAGAAAAATCTATGCAAATCTAAAAAGAAAGGAAACATGCAGATGAAGAATCTATTATATACTGCAGAAAACTCACTGCATACAGACACGTTTATTGATACACTAATAGTTCACGAGAAATAAACAACATGAATATTCAGAATGTTTTTCAGAAAAAAAATGTTAATAAAGGAAGCTTCTACATTGCTTCAAGAAAATAGTTATAAAATGAATCGCAACATGACCAAAAAGATAGTAATCTATCCAAAACATTTCAAAACTACAGTAGGAAAAAAAAACTGTACTTTATTTGTAAGTTGAATTATGCTTTTTATTTTGTGTGTGTGTGTGTGTATATATATATAAAAAAATATGACCACAGTTCCTCATAATAATTTAAAAGTATGGCTCTGAAAGACTAAATAAAACTGCACTGTGTAAGAATTTAGGAGTCATATGTATCTGCTTAACTCGAAACACCAGGGATTTTCATTTTTATTAGCCGTTTGGCAAGTATTGAAAACATTGCACAAGTGGTCTTGTTATTTTTAAAGAGAGAGGTCAAATGAAAATTTTCATCACATCCGTCATTGCATTAAATTGCTACCGTTACATTCCATTTAGGCATACAGTAAACAGCATTAGAGATGCAATTAAATTAATCTCCAAGGTCAACAAGCCTAATAGCATAATAAGACCTGAGCAACTAAGCACAGTTATTACCCAGGTCGTTCTAAATGGGATCATTCATAAAAATGTCTGTGGGGAGCCAAAATGTTTGTTTTAAATAACACAATCTAATGCATATGTATAAAACTAACTTCCAAGTCATAAAACTTGTTGAGTTCATGAATGCAGTTGGAAACTGAGGCGATGGAAGCGTAGAAAGCAGTGAATGTATCATTCTGGTGAGCTAGTCTCCATGGGCCTGTTTATGTTCTGAGTGTAACCAAGAACATGACAGGACAGTAAAAACACACAAACACCAATCATCTGGTTTGCACACCAGGGTCACATTTAAATTTATGGGGAAAAATAAAACCCATTTAAAGTACTAGCAGAAGAAGATGGTGCAAATAACTACCGCATTTTTGATCCATGGCACAGTCTACTATTTAGAAGGGCTGCAATTATTAAACAAGAATTGGGCACTATCTTTGGATACTTATGATGAACAAGAGCGAAATCTGGACCTTGGCGCGCACTGTGCAAAAATAAGTCAGCATCCAATATGGTCTTTTCTCCCGCCCGAGCATAAAGCTAAAGCTTAGCATAGGCAGAATATGAGAAAAATGAAAGCTATCAGCTATTAGACGAGCCCGAAACAAACGTGAGAAAACGAAGCAGGTTCGTCATGTGACTGGAAATTATACCTAAATAGGAACCTTTGGCAGACTGTCAGCTGCTGAAGTATTTAATGACAGTCCTTTTGGTGAATAATTTGTACTACCTGTCCCAGTTGATTAAGAATGAATATGTTGTCAATACTGTTACGTTAATTAAACGTAATTTAATATGTTTAATATGCATTGAAGAAAGCTGGATTAGGAATATATCCTTAAAGTCTCTCTCCTTTTCGAAAGAATCTTTGCATTTCTGCACTGACGGCATTCGAGGTAACACAAAGGTAATCTACCGTAGAAGCAGCAGCAGTTTCAGAAAGCAATCAAGCATGCTCACAAAGTCTCACAAAGATAACTGTCATCTAAAGAGTCATCCATGATGCTTTACAGAATTCCATAGCAGCATTAAATACATATTTGCTTCCAGATTTCTTACCAATATGAATGAACCCTAACGACAAACTATTTTATTCAAGATCAAATACAGGTGACACTGTGATTTCTTGTGCCAGTGTCAAGGTAGGGTGCCTTTATTGTTTTCTCATCTTCTTCTCCACAGTAATGGCTCTGAGTTTCAACTGACTGTAATTCTCTCTTCTAGCAGTGAAACTTTAATTGACTACATCTTGCGCTTGCATTCTAGCCCAGCAGCTATGACAACTAGAAGTAATAGGGCTTGTTTTCATTTATTGCCGTGGAGAAAAAAAGGCCAGAGGAAACCAACACGCTGAGATATCTACACACGCCATATCTAAGGACACGACACAGTTCCTTAGATTAACAGCTTTATTACAGCAACTCATGTTAGGTCCCTGTAGCTGAAGTTGAATTTTACTAAATACTGGACACTCAGTTTGTTATATGTAATTCTGTCTTGACTGAGATTACCGTATATAATGGTTAGCAATGTATCCAGGTAATTGTTTATCCCCCTGACTGCAACATATGCTATGTATACCTTAAAATTTGCTTTGTTAGACCAAAAATAAATGCCTCTAATAGTTTGTACATCATTTTTTATTCTCTGCACAGGAGCAGAAATCCCCTTCATTTAACCAAATGTTAGTTAGTTACCAAAGGTAACTGTGGAAAAACCGTTGGACTAAGTACAACATCAAAGTACTTGGGCTAAAAGCACAAGCCGACATTTGTAAGCATATTTTTGCTTAAACATGGCAAAAAAAATCTGTTTGCAGTACTTTGGCAGAGGTCTTTTCTTCTATATTGTTTACCCATCTTTTCTCAATATCAAGGTTATCATTCCGCAGTCATTCTGTCTGAGCTTCACAAAGGCACTCTGCATAAATTGTATGTTGAAGGTGCAAAACTAAACAGGCTTTGATTGATTGCGTGTTGCCAGTTTTTGCCTTTGCTAACATTCAGCTGGAGTAGCAACACAAAAAGGACCATTGAGTAAAAGCTAACGGCACTGCGTCCTCACACACTGCATCAATAAGGATTTTTATGGATTTATGACTAACAGTACGTGGGCGTCTTCTTCCTTTAAGGAGAGGATTCTGGCTGATTCCAAAGGCGTGACTCACCATGCATCCACACCCTATTGTAAAACATCACAAGCCAAACCACGAACAGTCACAATCTGTCACAATCCATGACAAAAAAAAAATGAACTTGTGCTTATACATTAATATATAGTACAAAATCCACATAAACAAGCACGATCGACATGTGAACTCTTAAAAAGACTTAATTTTATCACGTATCTATGGAACAATGCATATTAACATTATAATAACTGTGCAATATGCGCATTTCTGATTATTAAGGACTTTAAAATAGAATGACCCTGCAAGGCTGAATAGCACAAGCATTAAAGATGAATGGATGAATGAATGAATGAATGAATATCAGTAATCCACGAATGACTGTCAGACTCATGATTAGGTTAGAATGAATGAACTTTAAAATATATATAAAAATATATCTTAATGAACTACATTAGC